AAAAGAAGCCAGCTGAAACGGTCTCGATTAGCCTCCCTCTCTCTCACAAGCGGGACTTGACTCGGAGGCGTTCAGGGCCCGGAGGCTGCAGTCCGGCGTTTTAATCATGATTCAGACACAGATGATTGTAACTGTTTGCTTTGCTTTTATGGTAATCATGTATTCACTGTCTCTGTAAATCGTTCTAATTGTTGTATATTGAATATATTTAATTTTAATCTCCAGAAAGTTCAAGTTATTCTTTGACTTTGTGATTTTTTCTGTATATACAAGCTCTCCCGTCACTGTTGAAATAAACTCCTAAGATTTAATTTACTGAAAATGAGGAGGTAAGTATTGTTTTTTTGAAACACCCAGATTTGATATAAAAAGCTCAAAGAACTACAGCAGAGTTCCTCATGTAATATGACCACATCACAGGGCTATTTGACTCTGATTTCCTCTCAAATTAGATTATCAACACAATACATCCAGTCAGTAGTTTGGTCTTTATTACTTATTTCTGTCAGTACCAATGAGGAAGGGGAACATCTGAGCAAACAAAGTATGAAACTTGGTTAAATTATTTATTTGTGACAAGCTTGTAATTTTTGTTGAACATTTATTAATTTACCTGCTTCCTTATACAGTCCAAAAACATGGATGTTAAGTTAACTTGTGATTTAGAAACTGACAATAGTGGGTTAGGGTTTGTGAGTGTCTAAAAAAATTATTTAGAAATATTATGATGGCTATGAGAATCACATGTGTGAACAAGCTCTACTAAATACTTTCATGACATATTGGTTTGTTTGCCATTGAAAAAGAGCCCGAAATCCCCAAACTTCCCTCATTGTGACAATGAGAAAAATTGTCCAGATTTTTCCATCCTCAGCCAGCTGCCTCTATATTTTAAACTGGATCAAAAACAGACTAAACCAATCAAAACAGCCGATTCATCAAAGCACATCACTGTTATGTGATCATCTGCTTCTCATGCTTTCTTTTCTTAAGCTTTAAATGCTGGTTTATGCATGGATATTTTTTTTTAGTTTCCATTGGTTTGCTCATAAACTCTGACCCCTGTTTTGGCTAATTTTTCTCTCTTTTTTTCTATTGGCTGAGATTGATTTGACCTTTCTGTAGACCTTCATGCAGTTTTCCCTTTTTTTTGTTGGTACGTGCTTTCTATTCTAAGCACAAACTGCAGGCTGGGAACAGCTGTCAGCCTCTAGGAGTTCTACATTTCTCATTTTCTTAACAATTACAGCTCTTTTGTTGGGAAACAACCCAGAAACGAGCCCTCTCTCCCCACTCTTTTGCACATTTGGATCAAAAACTGAGACGTCTAACAAGCCTGATTCACTCATCCTGCAGGTTTGATGTGTCTGTCACAATAAATGATCCCCATGTCACTCTGAGCCCAGCCTAAGCCCCGCCCACACGCCTCATCCTCCCTTTTAGCCCCGCCCACCCCCTCCTGCTTGTCCCACTAAAGCGATTTCCAGCACATGAAGGGACTCTGCCCCACGGCCACGGATGGCAACATGGCGACAGAGGTAAGCCCAGCCCTGGGGGGGGGGGGGGGGGGGGGGGTTATTTGGCTTTTGTTTTTGCGTCCTGGTTCCGGGGTCATAACTGAGCGACATCAATGGGAATTGCTAAATTAGAAAGGAGAAAGAAAAAAGAAAAGCCGGCCCGGGTGCAGTGAGCTCGGTCAGAGGGGGCATCGAGCCCGTGTCCTACATTATCCTGCACCCCCCCGTGTCCTGCATTACCCAGATCCGGCCCTGGTTTCCTCACAAGAACACAGAAATAACAGATAAAAACAGCAAATGTGGGATTTTTCAAAGTCAGCCACGCGAAGTGAAGCCAGAAATGAGTCAGAAATAGCCCCCCCCCCCCCCCCTTCCTCTCTCTCTCTCCCCCCTCTCCCATCCCCTCCTCCCCCTCTCTCGATCTTAAGCTGTTTTGGTGAAAGCAGATCTGTTTTTGTCTGTTCGCCGTTAATCCGCTGACGGGAGGAAAAAAAAGCTGTTCAGCACCATGGACAGCGGCCGTGATGCCTTCACGGACGCCGGGTTCCGGGCGTTTGTAGTGTTTGGATATACAGTAGCTCCATCAGTCTGCCTCCCTCATCCTGTTTCCTCCCATCGATCTGTTGTGAGCTGTAGTGAAATGCTGGGAACGCTTCCCTTTAAGACCAGAGAGACGGAAGGGAAACCATCAATATGTGTGTGTTTGCGTGTGTGTGTATGTGTGTGTGTGAGTGTGAGTGTGTGTCTGTGTGTGTAAGTGAGGATAAGATAGTGTGTCCACTACTGGGCTGGGCTCCAACAGTCAACAGGGCGAGAATGATTGCAAACAGTAGCAACAGAGTGATTGATCACATCCTGTCCGCCCCCCCTCTACAAAAATGGATCTAGGTGAATATTACACAACAGTAAACATGTTATTTTTTCCTTTTTTTAAACTTTTCTTTTTTTGTTGTGGCGTGGTTTCAAACATTGCAGGTTAAAGATAAGCAACCTGGGTTTTGCTCCTCACATATCGAGAGGGGATCTGATTCCAGAGTATTTATTTGTTTTTGCTCATGGCGTGGCTATTCTATACCAAAGAATAGCCCCGCCGATAGCAGCCATCCCCAGAGCATATACTGCATTTCCAAAGGATCCAGTGCGTTTGTATGACACTGCTATTCTGTCCTTTGCGTCAGAGCATTGGTGGAGCATGATGTTTTTCGTTTTTCTATTTTGTAGAATCTTGTAGATTTATGTAGATTTTATAGATTTTGACCCGTGTTGTGCTGGGTTTCTCCTCCCCAGTTTCACAACCTGCAGGAGCTGAGGCACAGCGCGTCTCTGGCCAACAAGGTCTTCGTCCAGAGGGACTACAGCGAGGGGACGGCCTGCAAGTTCCAGACGAAGTTCCCCTCCGAGCTGGAGAGCCGGGTGAGCTCAGGCCAGCCGATCTTATCTTCTGTTTCTAGTAAAAAACTAACAGCTTTATTCTGTAGTTCCAAAATATCAGTTTGTTTTAACTTCTAAACCAAACCTTTTGGGTATCAACCTGAAATAAGAGACTTTTTGAGGGCTACATTGCTATATAAAGCTCTTAACTAATTATTGGCCCTTATGGATTTGCTGTTCACTATCCAAAGTCAAAAGAAAGTACAGTGGGGGAATTAAGTATTTGACCCCCTGCTGATTTTGCAGGTTTGCCCACTTACAAAGAATGCAACGATCTATAACTTTATTCATATGTACATTCTAACAGTGAAAGACAGAATCCCAAAGAAAATTCCAGAAAATCACATCATATGAATTTATAGAAATTGATAACCATCTGATGAGGAAAAATAAGCATTCTTTGTAAGTGGGCAAACCTGCAAAATCAGCGAGGGGTCAAATACTTATTTCCCCCACTGTAAGAGAATATATAAGGATTTACCCAAGTGTGTTTGGTATATAAAACATCTGTGGAGCGGAAATGTTTCCAGCTCATCTACTGATTGGAAACAGATCTTTTCCTTTATATTGTGTCTCAGAGTTTTTGTATTCAGGGTAATTAGTTCCTACATTTTCTTATCAACCCCAAACAACGTTTCCCAGACGTTCCTCTGCTGACCACTTGTTGTTTTCTCTGGTTCCCAGATTGAGCGGACGCTGTTCGAGGACACGGTGAAGACGCTGAATAACTTCTACGCGGAGGCGGAGAAGATCGGGGGCCAGTCCTACCTGGAGGGCTGCCTGGCCTGTGCCACCGCCTACCTCATCTTCCTCTGCATGGAGACGCGCTACGAGAAGGTACAGACGCTCGTCCGGGGCCGGACTCAGATTGAACCGATTTTGCTCGACTTTGATTGATTTGGTTGATTTGGTTGATCAGGTTCTGAAGAAGATCGGCAGGTACATCCAGGAGCAGAACGAGAAGGTCTACGCCCCCCGAGGCCTCCTCATCACCGACCCCATCGAGAGGGGGATGCGCGTCGTATCCTTTAACGTTTTCCCTCTGTGTCTGTTACAACCCGGGACACAAAACAGATGTTCTCGATAATGACAAAAAGTTAGTTATTAACCAAAGGAAAGATTCAACCAATGAACAAAAAGACAGCAATCAAATGCCAAAAAGAGTAGCGAAACAGAACACAAACCAACTACACTTAAACCACGTTACAAACAACCACACAAAACCGTCCATCCATCCATTATCGTTACCCCTTAGTCCCTAATGGGGTCGGGGGGGGGCGGAGCCTATCCCAGTAGCCAATGGGGAGAGGCGGGGTCACCCTGGACGGTCTCCAGTCCATCACAGGGAAACACAGAGACACACAAGGACCAACAACCACACACACTCACACTAAGGGCAGTTTGGAGTCCAGCCAACCTAACATGCAGGTTTTTGGACGGTGGGAGGAAGCCGGAGAACCCGGAGAGAACCCACAGACACAGGAGAACATGCAGAACCACCCAGAAAGGTCCTGGTTCCCCCGGGACTCCAACCCAGAACCCTCTGGTCCTGGTTCCCCCGGGACTCCAACCCAGAACCCTCTGGCTGTGAGTTGATAGTGCTAACCACCACCCCACCACACAAAACCAACTGGAATTATTCAAAACAGTAACCAACTGATTTTCAAACGCCACAACACAGATCCAAAACACTATCCTCCAGAGGTGTCCACACACAGGCCTGTATCAGGTCAGTAACTATAGGCTCCTGCATTAGTTGCACTATATGGGTTCCTGCCTCCTGGCTCCTCATATCCAGCCTCCTGATTGGTGGAACGGCCTCAGCTCGTAGGGATCTGTAGTCAGGCCTTATGAAACAGAGAGAAAGTCAACCCCCCACAGAATGAAAGTACCCTGGTGTTTCCCCCTGTGATTTCCCTCATTGGTCCTCAGCTCGAACCACCAGATTGAGATTTCCATCTATGAGGACCGGGGCTCCAGCGGCTCCAGCTCGGGCAGCAGCTCAGTGTCCGGCAGCACGGCGCGATGACCCCACGCCTCCGGTTCCTCCGGTTCCTCCGGTTCCACCGGTTCCTCCGGTTCCTCTGGTTCCTCCGGGACGCAGGACGATGCTGATTCCCATTCCCCTGACAGCCTTTACACCACCAAGCTACCCTCACACAGCGGACACGCCCGGTTTTTAGATTTTTTTTTTGTGCTCCTTACCCGTCCTCACAAGCTTTTTGTACAGTGGATGCTTAAAACGTGCACTTTAGGCCACCATCAGGACACACTGCTACACAAAACTAGACAAACCTCGTGCGATTGTGCGTTTTTCTGTCCTTCCTTTACTCTTTGATGTTAGAAAAAAGGGGGAGGAAGGAGGTGCTAAGACCTCAGCCCACACAGTCCGCATTAAAGACGGGCGTATTGCTGTTAGATGTTACCTAAACCGGACTTTCTTATTTCAGTGAATGTTATAGAGGCCACAAAACGAACACCTGCCAAAACCTCGAACGGACATTAAGCTCCTCTTCCTCTTTCCCCTTCTGCTGTCAGTCCCAGTTTGTAGCAGATGAATGTCGTTTGACCCATTTCAGTTTCTAATGTAGCAGATCTTCCATATTTCTCACATGAAGATTGTCAGGCAGATGCCTGTAAGAGAAAAAAAAACAAAAAAAACCTCTGGGTTTTAAAGAGCGAGACCAATGCTTCCTAAATTTTGATTATGCAAAGACTCCCTGTGCATGGCGTACAGAGTAAGTAGAGAAAGGATCGGTCAAAAGTCTTCCTGAATCCTGATTGTTGTGTTCTGAAATACGCCGACCCTTCCTCGATTCATGGACGAACTTCCAAAGAAGAGTAACTGCCAAAAACACTTGGCTCGCAAACGTGAATGTGACTTATTTTTTGGGTGACTTGTTGTGCTAGAACAAATTTTCATACGGCTTGTTTGATACACGTGGCAACGAGGCGTACGCTGTACAACTGGTGTCTAATAAACGGTTACATCACAGCTTTTGTTGGCTCTCAGTTGTTGTCGTTGTGTTTGACCAGAGCTCTACTTCCAGCCACAGGCTCCGTTTCAAAGAGTTAAACTAGATGGGTATTTTTTTTTTCAAACTTTGTTTATTGAACATTTTGAACATAAGACAGACATTGTTGGGACAAATTCAAAGTGTCAATACAAACTCAATGTCACAGTTCTGTCAACCCCCAATCCACCCTGACCACCCACCCCACCCACAGGCCAAAAAATAAGTTAAATAAAGAAAACTAAATTTAATAGATAGTTTTGAATGATTTAATTTCAAATAGGACTTTTAATTAAGGTTAAATAAATAGTTAGTTCAGTAAAATGACAACTGGTTAGATGCAACAGCTACATTCCTGAATTAAATTTTTGAATTAAAAAATAAAAATAAAAATAAATAAAAAGTATAAATAAATAAAAAACTATAAAGAGAAAAACAGATAAAAAAAATAAATTAAAAAAGGAGGGGTGGACATGAATGTAAATGTAGATAGATAAGTAGAGATCATGTTAGACATTCAAGTATCCTCTGGGTCGAGAAGATTCAAAGAGTCAAAATATCTACGAAAAGGGTCCAATGTAGCCTGAAATAACTTGATGGAGCCTATAAGAGAGAACCTCAATTTAAACCAGCCGGGTTTGACCGTCTCTGTCCGGAGCAATTGGTGCCGTCTACTCCGGGCCTTTCAGTTTGGACAAAAAAGACCTTGAAGTCATTTAGATATGCGGTGTAGAGGCATGGATGTGTTGAGCACTGGTCACAAGAGGGAGTGAGTGTGTTTGGATATATGTCTGTGTGTGTGTGTGTGTGTGTGTGGGCGTGTATGTGTGTGTGGCTGGGTTTGGATGATGGCCTGATAATTATCACCTGTGTCTGCCCATGGAGTTTGTCTTTAGTTTGCGACAGAGAGGGTTGACATAGGGGCCGATATTTTCTGTTGACCGCAAAGTAACAAATCAATAGCCAAAGTATCTTTATGTTCAATATACAATCTTGTCAATGTGTATTATGCAAGAAGAAGAAAAATAAACACCCTTCGACCAGTATTGGAGCCAAGTTTCCTCATTAATCAATCAATCAATCAATCAATCAATCACTTTATTTTGGTAAATTGTCCACATTAAACACAAGAAACAACAAAAGAAAAAAAGAAAAAAAACAATAGACAAACCGACAGTTTACCAAAAAAGGAATAGGCCGAAGCAAAGCTTATTCTTGCCTACCCTATTTTTTTACCTTACAACCTACCAGGATTTCTTCAAATTCAGATTCAAGTACATAGTATATATATAGATCTACATACACATTACATTACATTAGAGTCAGCGAGTCATACAGAGCCCTACGTCCTTCCCTCAGTGACTAACCTGGAGTGCGATAGTCACACTACAATCATCCATCAAACCTTCCCAGCCTGGACAGTGGAGTGCAGCCCAATCAAAGGCTGGTTTTAGATGGCTGGATGTGACAGCCACCCACAACTGGCTCTTAATCCCCTCCGTTGTTGGTCTCAGCTTCTCGTTTTCCATTTGGCGGATGAGTTCCGGTCAGCAGGACGGTTTAGCTGACATCTGTCACTGAGATGATGATGGTGGATGAATTGTGAATGGAAAACCTGAATTTCAAACGAGGATTGATGTGTTTTCCTGCAACCTGGAAACACAGGATGTTTAACTCAGAGGCTGAGTTTCTTCTGGTATCAGAGAGAAACCCATTTTCAAATGAGCCTACGTTTAAAAACCAAGTCCAGAACTTTGACTGGTGAACTTGAAGGCTTTTCTTGGTGTGACAGTGACTCTGACTGGTGAGGTTTCTGCATCAATGGGTTTGAACTGGTTCTTTATGGGTGGTTCTCACAATCTATGATGTTATAAATAAAATCGAAAATGATTCAACCTTTGGTGTTTGCTACACCAGTTAAGCCAAGGTTGTAGCTACAGTCTGCTAAACCTTGAAGTGAATAGCTTTATACAGGCATAAATTAGAAAACACAATCAACTCACAAATCTTTCCCTGTAATAAACTCTGAATGATCCTAAGGTGGAAAGGATCTAATGCATTGTAACATCTTTTATACAGCTATTTCCTTTCAGTTTTAGCTCAACACGCAAAATATCTTGATTCTCATTGTCCAGAAAACATTTTTTTATGAGGACTTTGTGTCTAAATTGCACTCAAACAAATATTCTGGTTGCAAATTACTTTATTGAGATGATTGAAAAGGAGACGTCAGGGTTTTCACAAATAGACACAACCATGAGACACTCATTCACAGACACTGAAATGATGATATTTATACTTTAATGTATTAAAATAAAAAATAAAAAATTTAAATGAAACATGCTCGGTAGATCCTTAACTTACTGATGAGGAAGCAAAAATGTACCAGTCTCAGATGAGCGTTGCCTCATGTTTAGTTGGGATTGACCCATCTAAAGCAAACAAAGGCAGACTTTGAGCTCAGGGTCAGAACATGACCAGCAGGGGTCAGACTGACTCCATGTGCTGAAGTCCTTATTCCAGTTTTCACTTTTTCTTTACATGGAAAAAACATTGGCCATGTTGGAGTGCTTCTCTGTTTTTGAGGACAACAAACTAATTATTTTATTTAAAGAGGATGCCTTTATTAGAACTAGGTTAATACATCTGCGTCTGGTGGAGTGATGCTGTTATAAAAAAACTACTATATATTTGACTGACTGATAAAGGAGAAAAATAACAAAAGCAAAAGAATAAAAAAAGTCAGAATCTGTCCACTGATGGGAACTTGTTTAATGAGAAGTGTGTGTTGTAACATTTCAAAGCTTTTATTGCAATGTTGCCCAAATGGATTTTGGATTTAATTTTAATACAAGCGTTAAAATTTACACAATTCACATTCCAAGTTATTCTTCAGAGGGTTGAAAGCTTTTTTATGGAGGCTAAACATGAGCTGCATGCAATGTTAGTAAAGTGTTATTACAAACTGTTCATGCAATGTTTCCTTCATTCGCTCTTCTGCTTTCATGATGGTTTTACTCTTGAGTTTTTGATTAACTGCGTCACGCTGATCCCAGTTCACCACCACAGGAACAACTCCAGCCCATTAGAGTCAACAGAAAGTTTTTGTTGTCTTTTTTTTTTTCTCTCTTCCTGTTTTAAGGATCTCTCTTCTTTTCGGTGCAGGTTATTGTTACCTTTTTCCTCTATTCTATCTTCCTTTTTAAATTTTTATTTAATCTTTTTTCCCTTTTTAAAATGTTTTTCTCTTTTCCTGCCTCCCTGGTCAGGTTTGGCTTTAACCATCTTACTTCTGTAACAGAAATAAATAATATTAAATAAATATTAAACCAGTATTGGATGATCAAAGGAGGCTTCTCACCCCTACAGGCCTCCCTTGGCAAAGCAAAAGTGTCGGGCAGAGCACAAAACTCAGATTACAATTCTGTTGCCATAATGCCGAACACAAGGGGTTTAAAAAAAATAAATGAATATAAGTCAACAGAAAGCTGAGCAGCAGGACGTGAGAACCGCAGACCGTCCTTCAGGGCGACGTTTGCTCTGAGGGGGTGACAGTCGTCTTTCCCCTGAAGGCAGCTCTCACCTCTGGTCCACCAGCACAAGCAGCACGGCCAAACAGAGACAGGAAAATGTGCTAAAACGGGACGCTTCAACCGAAGAACGAGCCCCGTAGTAAAACGGATCCAGAGCTGCGTGGAGGCAGGGAGAGAAGAGGACAGAGAGGAGAGGCGGTGGGTGACGCCGGTCCCAACCAGAAAAGGCAAAAAAAAGGTTTGTTTCAGCAGGTCTTTGAGAAAAATCAGCATCCACCGTCACATTTTTGTCTGATTTTAGCTGAAATCAGCGTAAATGAAGATGTGCAGAGCACAGCAAAGGCAGAGACGAAATGCCCGTGTCCATGAAATGACTCAGCCAGCAGGTTTACACAGAGAACTTTATTAAAACACGTCTTTTTCAGGCTGTCCAAATGAAATGAAAAGTTAGAAAAACTCAAATAAACTACTCACAGAGTAAAGAAAAAACCAAGAAGGCCACCCTCAACGCAAATGAAAAGAAAATGAATTTAAGGCCGGTTCAGCACCGTTTCATGCTTTCATGCCACTTCTTTTGACCTTCCTCAAATCCCTGTTGAAACATAAAACTAAAGTAAATCTCAGAGTATCGTGGAATCAAACTGCTGGTGAAATATTTTTGTTTATCTTAAAAACAGCTCACCTGTACAGCGCCCATTCTGGACAGTGAAGCCATCACCACACTGAGAATGACAAGATGAATAGATTTCAGCTAAATATATTCAGAAACCTGACTTTTTTTTTCTCATTTTGTTGTAAATGAGATTCCAAATGACGTTTTTATTATTTGACATCACTTACAAAGATGGATGGGAACAACACAAACTCTCATAATTCATGTTGTGAGTCCTTGCTGTGTACCTGCGTGTCATTTGAAAGCACAGAAGCGGCCCCTGCTGCCGGAAAGCTCATTTCCACCACCGAGTTCATTTCTCCGGCCTGGAGAGCTCGAGTGGTGGTAGTGCCATCGGGCCAGGAGACCTCCAGCACCTTCACCTCATCAGATCCTGGGTCACATGGGTGAAAAAAGAGGGAGAAAGTCAAAAATATTTTTTTAAAAATGATGTCCTTACTGCATTTGAGCTAAAAAATAACCTACAAGCCATTTATCAAGGCAATGGCCATTTTTCATGGCTATCTCCAAGATTGCAAGGCTAAAAGTGATACATTTGTCTACATTATGTTTGTCAATATATTTGTGAAACCTATTACAGTTCCCTGCCATTGTTTTCATTTAAGAGGAAGGCATTATGGGTAATGTAGTTGTGATATAGCTATAAGTGTCCAGTCTGAGGTGATTAATACTCTCATAACTAGCTATTATGTACATCACATGTAAGATCAGTTTAGACATTTTTTCAAATGTTATCAATCCTGTTTAATATCTATAAAAAAGTTGAATTAAAGACCCTGCAAATTTATGAAGGAGGCTTCTTTTTCTGACTCATAAGCGTTGAGCCATAAGCAGGAAACATCATACTGGAGTGGCATGGCTTTTACACACTGGACATTTCAGATGTTGTCCTGACCACAGTGGAAAATGAGACTGTCGTTTAATAAGACTGTTGTTTAGCACGTCTAACACACCTAAACCGAAGTGGGCCACGGGCTCCATCTGGCAGAGGTACCCCGACCCCCCGTCGATGATGCGGGTCAGGGCGCCGCTCTGACCCGTGAAGGCCGTCACTTTGGCCCCGCGAGCAAAAGCTCCAAACTGAGTACGAGGAATGACTCGCAGCCAGTTGTTGGACGAGCCCTGCCGACAAAGACCACGGGTTAGCGTCCAGCGATCAAAGCCCAGTCGTTAGCAACACACACTGTTAGAGTAATTGTACAATAGTTATCATGCATTCTATGATATATGTGTGTGTGTATGTAAGGGTTTAACTGTGCTTGTGTGATAGCAAAAAATTACTATCATAAGTACAAGTTGGTTTGCAGATATGAGAAGCTGACCACGGTAGTGATCCTTGTGACCACACACCTTTTTGGCAGCGTGAAACAGAGAAACAACTGTACTTTGTTTTACTGTCAAACCAGTTGCATCCTGTGATCAAGAACAATGTATATTCAATCATGTGTGCTTCTTCTGTCTTTCGAGAAGATGAAGTCACAAGAAGTGGTAGGGTGGAACCAAATAAAAGGAGAGGAGAGCAGCGAGAGACCTCAGAGTAAGTTGGAGATTGTAAAGTCTCCGGTGCTCTCCTTGCACTCCTTGCGAGTATTCACTGTACTTACTGTGTCCGTCTAATTTTGTCCTCTTGCAGCAATGAGTTTAGAAGTGTTTAGGGGCATAACCCTGACACACACACAAAAACACACACAAATAAACACACACACACACAGAAACACACACCTGTGTGACTTTAAAGACAGATATTGGCTGCTGGGCGCTCTCTCCATGAGCCAAAAGCAGCTCCAGCTGTCCGTCCCCATCCAGATCCGTCACGGTGCCACCTGTCCCAAAATAAATAAAGAAATAAAAAAGTGCTTTCAGTCCAACCGCCTGGACACCGATAGAGCTCTCCCGAATTAATTTTAATTTTGTAATGTCATTGTCTGAACGTGTGTTTGGACTGATTTTGTATTTTGTGATTTTGTGTTGTTTGGTCTTCCTGCCTCAGGACCACAGATGAAAACTAGCAACTATGCTATAATCTGGCTCATTTACAATCTGTATGAGATTGTTCATTAATGTGCACTGTCCTGATTAAATAAATAAATAAGTTTCTGCTGAACCCCCAGAGTCTGACGGCCCACCTGTCCCTCTCCCCTCGGGCTCAGCAGCGTCTCCCACATTCAGCTCCTGGATCAGAGGGTCTGCGTTCGCCCTCCTCGAAACTCTGAAAAAACGAATAAAAACACAAGAATCCTGATGTCAAAACCTCTATAGTTTACAGCAGTTTTATCGGGGGGCTCATCAGTAGGGATGGGGATCGTTAATATTTATTGATATTGATACCTTTATCGATACTCCTTATCGATCCGAGTCTTTATCGATACCACTATCAATACTTTTCTGTTATTTGGTGGAAAGACGATGGGACAATATTTAACAAATAAATAATTGTATTTTAAATTAAATGTAATTTTTAATAAATGTTGCCATCAGTAGTTTAATTATATATTCTAAAATAATTAGAGCAATATACAACTGTATTACTCATGTTTCTTAATTGTCGTTTTACTGAGCCAATCTGAACACATCATCACGCA